ATTGCTCTTTCAAAATCATTGTCTTCAGACAGTGCTTGGATTTGTTTCACTGGAGAAGACCATGTGTATTTATCATGAAATCGGGGAAAAAAAATCCCAACCATCGCTTTTTTGAATGCTTTAATGAGATTTTTGTTAAAGGTTTTTATTTCTTCACTATAAATACTGTTTTTTTTTGTTTTTTTTTGTTTTTTTTTTTTTTTTTTTTTTTTTCCTAGTCTTGTCTGCCAAATAAAAGGGAGACCTGACATCTCAGGCAAGATGAAGTATGAACAATAAAGAGAATGACGTAATTATTTAGGGTTCTGTAAAATATTTCCTTATCTTTTGGAGGTCATGTAATAGTAAAGGAGAAAAACACTCTGTGCCAATCTTCCCTCATAATACTCTTCTCTTAACTACTATTAACTACTGTTACACCACTGTTGTTTTCCCTTTTTTTTTTTCCCTTTTTTTTTCCCCTTTTTTTTTTCCCCCTTTTTTTTTTTTTCCCCTTTTTTTTTTCTCCCCTTTTTTTTTTCTCCCCTTTTTTTTTTTTCCCTTTTCCTTGATCATCTTGTTTTCCCATGTTGAACATAACCTATTCAGAACTGACATATAAACTTGAATTGGTATGCTGCTGTATATGTGTTGCTTTCATAGGCCAATCTTGGCTATCCACCAAAGTTATAAGCTAACATTGTATATCCTAAAGTATGTGACATCATTAATTTTTGGGGGGGTCATTAAAAAGCTAATAGGCAGGCAATTTAACATTGATGCTAAATGTAAATTGTCAATGACAGCAGCCAGTGCTATCCTGCTGACAAGTGATAATGTCATTTCAACATGTCCTCAGAGCATGGTAATTACTGCTGTATTCTTGAATGTATATGGCTTGATGTTTACCTGATTTGAATATGAAAGACTCTCTGAAAAGTTCATATGTGCTCTCTGCATGCTGAATGCACTGCACAAAATATGTTATGACTAACTATCTGCAGAAACAATTAATTCAGATTCCTCTGACCTGAGGATTTCTATTATGGTCTCTACATCAACAAAAAAAGCCCTTTCTGGAATGTAGAATTAGACTGCATTATTAAAATATTACACTAAATTTTCTGTTTCAAAGATGAAATTAGCATTTAGTAACAGATTATATAGTACATGTCTTGTAAAATAACTAATAACGCTTAATGTCATTTTTTTCACACTCTATAGAAGCATGTTCTATGTGCTTGATGGTTAAAAGCTTGTTTAATATAAACGTGCCTGGAAGTCAGTATTTTTGTTGTTGGTGTTCTATTGAATCAACAAATAACTAAAAAAAAAATTCAATGCTATATGAATTTGGGATAAAGTTAGGGAACTGGATGTCTTTCTTTCAGAGATAAACAAAGAAGAGTGATCAGTTGTCCTCTGAGGCTTTGGGATTTGCAGGAGTGAAATGAGGATGCAGTAAGGCAATAAGATTTTGCTGTTCCTGTATACTGAGGAAAGAATTAAAGCTCAATACTTACAAAAAAGTCACATAATTCTGGAGAGACAAAGAGGGAGAAATCTTTATAGCCTCTTCATGGCTGTTGTTATAGATACTTCAGTTCATACTCTTGCTTTATGCAGTTTGTACTGTGTTTGAGCTTGTGTGTGTGTGTTTTTGAGCTGATGGAGATAAAAATTTAAAAATATTTAAAAATTCTTCCAAAATGCATATATCTGATCTTAAAATAAAACCCTTAAAGCCTTCCAATGATCAAATAAGCATCTCTTTTTGAAAATAAGAAGAAATTAAACCATATCCTACTTTGTATCCCTAAAACAAAATAAAGCCTAAGGAAGCAGATTAAAGTCCAGTAAACATCAATTTATTTTTTAATTGCATTTTAAAAGGATGCCCTAGAAACAGATCTGATTTGCCTCATTGGAAAACTGTTCAAACTTCATTATACAGTAGTTATATACCTTCTTTTAATTTCTATTTTATATATACTCATCAATTCCTTTGTTGTAATGCTAACATTCTCCTTTTATGCCCTGGTGTTTTCCTCCTTACTCCATTCTTATTCTATTTATAGAAAGCATTTACTTCCTCTGTCAGCTTTTGGCAAAGCTGAGCAAATCACCTCCTTTCACGTCTTCATACATAGTTGCCATGGACTTACTCTTCAACTTTTCCCCTTCTTGTACACGACTGACCATGGTTTCTCTCTCAGTGGATCCTGGGATTGCATTCAGTACCTTGTCAAGTGCCGCACTCATAGTTCTTAGTGTCCTGTGATTGAATAGTGTGCACAGGTTTATCTTCACTGTACTGATGACTGAACTTGCTGGTCCTCAAAGGCATAACTTTTCACTCTATTTTATCCAGGTTTTTAATTCTATTTGATGAGCTCATCCAGAACTTCCTCTTGGCCCCTTGTAGTCAACGTTTCCCAGTGCTATGATATCTGTGTGCTCTTTGTTAAGATGTTAAAAATCTCAACAAAATTTGTCCACAGATAACTCTATGAGAAACCACAGCACAAAGCTCTCTCCCAATTAGTAGTTCCTCCATTTCACATTAAATTGGACACAGTCCTTCTCTTCTTCTGTGTGGCTAGTAACTCTTACATGTGCTAAGCCAAGATGCTTTACTGAATCCCAAAATCCCAGAGGATTTTTTTGTTCTCTGCTCCTTCAAGGAAGCCAGATATTGTAAAAGAAAGTATACTGGGTCTGTTTGGATCGATCTGTTTCTTATAAATTTGTTTGTACTTCATCTTTTTGCTTTAACAGCTTGAGCCAGAATTTAACGTATTGTTAAAATTGCAGTTGTACAGAGCATTTCCTTTCCTGCCAAGGTTACTGCATTTCTAATTACAAGGCAATATATACATTGTGATGGATTGCTTAAACATCCTTGGTACTAGACATGTGATTTCGCGTGCAGCTTTTTCCAATGTTTGGGAGTAAGTATTTTTCAGTTCCTTTGGCTGGTGTGAAACAATACTGCTGCTAGGTTGTATCTGCTGTGCTGTTTCCTCTTGATACACTTTGCAAAGCCTAGCAATGATGCTGACCCTGCTTCATGGTTACTTGTTTTGATTTCCAAGACAGTTTGGCCTGTAAATGAGCTTGTTTTCTTCCATTTTGTGTAGATTCCCAGTTCATTCCTAATGTTCTTCAAAAGGTGGTTGATTTGCTCCATCTTTACTAAAAATTTCCTCTCCCTTCCTATTTTTTTTTTTTAATTTCTTTTCTTTCCTTGGTCCTTGCCCACATTGCAGATTCCTAATATTTGTAGCAGCTTTCCTGAAAATGATTCAATTCACCTCAAGGTTCATACAGCTCAATTACTTGATTAAACTTGGTTAACTTCTTAGTCTTCCCTTTTCAAATCAAGTTCAGTGAAGCCTATTTTGGTTCCTCTTCTATTTAGCATGAACTAATTTGTGACGACTTTATTCAAGAATTTTTTAGAAACTCTTGTGGAGAGTGTTCATTTGCTGCTCATGAAGGGAAGATGTATGGTGTCATCTCTTTGCACCTTTTTTTTGGCAAAACACTTCCCAGATGAGCTCCGCCACCATGGACATGCATCCAGAGGAACTGTAGAATTTCCTCTTGCAATTCAGGTGGAAATATTTCTCTATGCCAAGTCTTGTCCCTATTCAAACCTGGCTCTGATGAAATATTTTATCTAACTACGACTATAGCAAATATTAAAGTAGTTTTAATCCAAATTGATTATGTTATCCATTTTTTTTTCTTTTTCCCCTCTTACTGGACACAGTGAGTTTTACTTACTTTGCTATTTCCTTCCTCTTTGGCAACATTTCACTCTTTTCTATCTGTATTGAGTAAGGAGTACAGTTCAGTGTCTGTGGCCTATGAAGATGGTAATTCCAAGATTTCCACTTTTTTATTACTTGATTTGATATTTTTTTTCTGAATGTTATGAATAAAATGTATTGTTTCAGTCATTGAGAATTTTTTCTGTGAAGGACCATCAAAGTTTAATCACATCACAGAGACATTTTGATCCTTGAGTTATTTTATTTGCTTCTGAGGATTTAAAGCTGGCACTATATATGGCTGCTCTTTTTTTTTAATATGAAATAAACTGTTTTTTTTTTTTTTTTTGTTTTTTTTTTTTTGGTTTTTTTTTTGGAATCATTTCCAAAAATTTGATTTTGTATCTGTGTGAACTCAAATTTTTCTTCCGATGTTTTTTTTTCTGTTTCCTCCTCTGTCTTATTGCAAACTAACAAATGGTAGAACACTCAGATTTATACAAGATTGAGCTACACTTTTTTTACTTCCTTTACAAATACATTTGTTATAAGTGAGTATTTATCAACGGTACTCTAAATTATACATGAAAATTGTCTCTTTCATATCTTTGTCTCCTTCTCACAAAAAATGAACTTTTAGTATTGAATGGATTTGTTGTTTCATGGTGTATTTGTGCCAAAACTAGTCGTTTGGAAAACTAAGAACTTACAGCTTCTTTCTCCAAGGGAGGTCCTCCCTCCCTGTTGCTTCCCTCCACCCTCAAGTCTGGACTCCATCTCTAGGGCAAAGGAAATGCTCCTTTGTACTTCGGTTTAGGTGGGTGTCTAATCCATTATAATTAGATCCTATGTGATCGGCGCATCTTCTGAGATTGTCTGTTTCTTCCAGTTGTCAGCTAAGATTTTTGTCCTGGCTCTTACTTAATACTCTGTCAGTCTTCCTATTATATCAAACTCAATCACAGCTTAAATGCTTAATCTTCTAAGAAGAACGTCTCCTGCAGTGTGATGTGCTGTCACACTCCAATTACTTAAACAGAGCTGCAAAGATTTATCTCCTCTCAAAATCTGTTTATTGTGAGAGATTCAAATAATTATGGGTTGCTTTATTTTTGAGTAAATGCTGGAGAAAAAGGGGCAGTGGAAAATCTTGCAAGCAAAATATCTGATTTCTATATGAAAATGATGGGAGCAAAAGGAGGAACAGACAATGAGCAAATAAAAATTGAAGAACAGTGCACAAAGTTTGTTTATGCAAACATTTTTTTTTTAAAATACTGAAAAATGCCTAAATCCAGGTTTTGTTGTTTTAGGCCCGCTTTCCAGATACCGTTCTTAAGAATGAGCTTACTTTTGGGGCAGGGGGAATATCCCATAAGGTTCTATCTGGCAAATAGTTTTATAATCCTGTTCACGGTAAAACACAGATGGCCACTCGGCAGTGCTCCAGATGCTCCTGCAGGAAGCTTCATCTCTCTGTGGAGCCATTTGGAGGGTATCCGTGGGTGCTTCTAGCTTGTAACAATACAGCATCTATTCTTCTCTTTTTGAGAGATGATCTGAAAAAGAGGAACCATGTCAATAGGGAAATAGTTTTTAATGCAAGAAGTAGATGGGGTTTTCACCTGGAGAAATGGTTGTGTCTATGTATTCATAACTAGGATGATGTACGTAGCCTTCCAAATTCAACATTGCATTACACGCATTCTGTAGCCAAAATGTATGTGTTGAAAAGTAGATGTTATTCTGATATTGTATCAGTTGACAACGTGGTATCAAGCAGAATACTGCAGGAAAAGTATCAGTATGTACTAAATGCAGTAAATTATAATTTTGTGAAGCAAGTAATGCTTAAGTTCATAGTGTAGACAGCAGGGTGTAGTGAAGGGCAGCACTTTGAAAGCATATTTCAGATACCTGCTTATTTCTCTCTTGATAGTAAAATGCAGAAGGAACTAAAAAGAGCAAGTCAACAGATAACAGAATTTAGTATCATTGCTTAAACAGGACCACTAATAGGCTTTAAATTGAACATCTGCTCAGCTGCATGTCTGAGTTATAGCATAAAGATAGCAATTATAATTGTACCCTTATGTTTCCATAGCACAGAATTGAGTGGGTGATAACGTAGTACAATGCAAATATAACTGTTATACTGTGGCAGAAGCTGGGCAATTATTTTACCTATGCTTGATCAGAAGAAAAACAATCAAGTGTTTGGCAGTGTTCTTTTCTGAAGGAAAAGCTTTGAATGCATTAAATAATTGAGGAATTGTTACCATGAACTTAACGCTTGGTCTCCATTGTTAAAAGATCTTTTCAAAAAAGAGAAAGTGCTTGGAGCTATTCTTTGGATCCCACAGCAGCTTGGGAGAATGACTTTTGTTTTTTGATTGTTATTTTTCTTTTTCATAAAAGAAGCATTTCTTACTCTGCCAGTACAGTTTCAGTTTCTGTCAAGAGATAATAGCTAATACATGCTATAAAATAAATGCTAATATGATAAAATACTGTCCTGGATGATGTCCTGTAAAAAAGACTGCAATATCATTATTCAGAGGAGCACCCTGTCATGTTAGCTCGTTTTATTTATATGAAGAAAACCTGAATTGAAAATAACAATTTCTGGAAGAAATAGCATTAGGGAAGATAATGTTGGTGATGTAAAGCAATAATGTATTGAAGTTCTAAAATCTTTGTCTAATTCCACTATCCAAAACTGTTGCATAGCAATCTCAGATGTATGGTGTTTTACAGGATGCAAGCCATTCTATGCACGTTTGAAGCAGCTGAGATAACTGTGACACAAAAGCGAGCTGGTCAGAGCCTGCATTACTGTGTGGGAGTTAGTGGTGGCATTTCTATGACTACTTAACATGAGAGTATACAGAGCTTCAGCTTTTGGCAGCAGCTTTCAAGAAGATGCTCATGGAGTCAAAGATTTAAGCCTGTAGATTCTGATTGACATCTGCGCAATCCGGAGGAGTAGTAAGATTTGGGTTTTTAGATTGAAGACAAGTCTTGGGAAGTTCTTTCTTTTAAACACTGCAGTTTTTCTACCTATACATCAGAACACTGTCAATTAATTAAATACATCACTGAGAATTGAAAAGGCAAAATATTTTTACAGAGCCAGTCTCTTCTATTGTGAACATTTGATTTAGCTTTCAGAATTTATTAACATTAAATCAAAATTAAGGTTGGAATTTATTTAACTAGTGCAAAGTTTTACCTTTTCTTTCAAGATGTGTGCACAGTTTGCATACAGAAATGTTCTGATTGCACATGCAATGTAGAAAATAAGTTTATTAAAAACCTTTCTCCTTTTCTAAGGTAGATGCACTTGAAATGGGAGAGTAAAAATAAACCAAATAATGGCTTTTCAGCAATAACAATTCAATAAAATTTTAAATTGTTAAACTCAGTGAACTCCAGTGAATGGACAAGCAACCTTATTAACAATAAACCATCTTCAGTAAATTTTTCCCTCTTATACTAATGTTAAAAATATTTTATTGTAGTTCTTAATTGAGAATTGCTCATTAAATTCAAAAGAAAATGTCTGAACAGTACAATTTAACAGGCCATGCTTGGGAAAATAACATTAGCTAGTTAATTATCTGTAGTGCACAGTAGAAGTGAACAAGATATTCACTAAATGTTAACACATTTCTATTGTACATTGAATTAAACTGAGTTATTCTCTATTTTTTCTTTCTTAATTCACTGAGATAAATATTGAAAATATAAAGGTAAAAGCTTTTGTCAAAAGGACATGCCTGTATTTTAAGAAAAAAAAAATGCACTGAGGGGATGCATTGTCTAATGTTATGAACAATAAATTCAAGAAATAAAGGCTTAGGATCTTCTGACCATTATCCAAAGGCAGGTTGCTTTGAGGATAATTGCATAAAGATTAACTATGTACCTGCAACTAGATGCCTATATTTCCAGGTGTTCCTTTAACTGGTTCTGGTTTCTGCTGCTATCCCTACGTTTCACTTTACTGAAGGATTTTGTGTGATTACCTTGGCAATTAAGGTAGTGTTAGCTTATAAGTGAGTATATAGACTGACAGGCAGTATTTAACATTTGATCTCACAGATTTTGGGAACAAAAGTAAGCTCCAAGCACATCTTCCTTGTTATTACAAATGTCTGTTTTGTTGTTATGGTTTCCCTTCTATTTTTTCCTCCACCCAAGCCTTCCTTTATCACATGTCAAAGTGTTTCAGCACTTTACTGGAAATGGATAAGTTTCTCTAGAAACTCTTGCTAATCTTGATTGTGAATGTATCTGAGCTCCAATCAGGATGCTGTTGTGCTCCATGAGGGACAAATTTTGGTCACAGACAGAATATCAAGCACAAAGTTCATAAACTTCTTTCATATAACATTCTCTATGACAAAATGACAATATATCCTTATAAATGCCTTGCATAGCTTGTCATCTGCACATGGAAATGAATTGACTCACTGTTCTTTAGCCATGTAATCTGTTATGCTTACTAACTGTCCACTCCTTAAACGTGAATCCAGATGCAAACAAATCCTGGTCAAAATGCAGCTGGTGTTGTGGCTTGAGAAATAACTTGCAGTGGTAACTGGTTTACTTTTAAAACACCAGGGAGACTGTTTTCCTAGTGGCCAACCTTCATAGATTTAGTTGCTCATTTTATGATAGCAGTTAAAGAAGAACCCCAGATGCTCTCTGACCCTTTTACGTGGCTTATGGGTTTTTAATAGGACAGCTGAGAATAAAGTCCTCAGTAATCATCGTAGGACATTATGGAGTTAGCTACATGCGTGCTTTCAGGATTGGGCCTTAGGTCAGATCGCTACTGCTAATATTTTTCCTTAAGTGTCAGAGATACAATAGGTGTAACATTTAGCAGACTTCAGAGAGATGACTGCATCTGTTCCACAGAAAGCTCTTTGTGGTCAGTGTAATTAGCTTAAATGGCTGAACGCTTGCTCTAGATTAATCCAGTTGTTTCTTTTATTGCTTCTAATTTGAGGTTTTTACAGGTTAAATCTAACAAGCAGGTTTCTTGAAATTGGCCATAGATTTAATGAACGCAGATTCTTATTTACTTATTTGTTCATTTAGGCTTTATAGGGACAGTTACACATAGAGGTGGCTTTCATACTTCTATCTCCATAAAAGCAAGAGTAAAGACAACTGTGTTACTCGTGATGAAATCTTTACCTTCCCTTTGTTGTGCTTATTAAATTCATAATTGAAAGCATGGAAGAATTTTCAATTTTGCTAATAGTTAATTTTAATATTAAGGATTTATCTATGGTACAGTTGAGCTGATTAGCTTGATATCTACTACTCTGAAGTAGAAATCGGTGCTAATAACAGCACTGTCTAGAAGGGATGTGTGTTAAATATTTATTGCAGCCCAATGCCACTTGATTGTGGTATGGCTTTACAAAGCCAATTAATGGATATGGATATCCTTTTTGCAGTAAAATGTCTCTGACTTTTATCTTGGACTAGAAAACTACTAGAAAATTGTTTGCCATAGTTAAGCTTCTTCTAGATTAGACAGCTATGTAATTCAGTCTGCATGGTTCTTCTGAGAATGCTGCAATGGGATGGAATGCTGTCAGGAAGGTTCAACCGCTACTGCTGTACACCAATATCCACCTCTGATGTTACAGGCCAACGTAATAAAATAAAAAAATAAAATGCATTACTTTTGGAGCAACCTCAAACTTACAATAGTGAAAAGGGAGAGAAGAGGAACAGAGGATATTACCTTTTTTTTTTTTTTCCTTCCCCATTAACATCTCAAGTTCTTGGTAAATTAGCTGCCCTTTAATCAGAGCCTTAACAATCTATGATGAGCTATTAACAGAGTATGCATTACATCATTTGCAAAATGCCTCTGCACTGTTTTAGCTTTCCCTGCCTTCAAATTGTAGTGGCAAGAATTTATCTGGAAATCACTTCTTTATCCCAATTCTGATTTAAGCTCCAAAGTTCTACTCCTTTCAGCCTCAGTAATGTCACTTTAAGATTGTGGACTCAAAAAGAAGGGAATTCATTCTATTTTCTATACCTTCCTCAATCCCCACAATAGCGTTTTTCTCTTTCTTCTGAAAACAGAAAGAAATGAAGACAGCAGCTGACAAGGACTTGTTTGTATTCTTTTTCTTGGAATGAAAGGATAAAGAATAACATAACCTTACAGAGATTATGGCAATTTCTTATCAATAAAAAATACTTTTCTTTTATAGTCTGGTTTGTTTAATGGCAGGTTACTAATAGTAGGATCCATTTTTTTAATTGTTTTTTTCAATTGATGGCTTAGTAATATCCATAGAAGGAATTCAGTAGATTTGCATGGGGCACTATTAGTTCCACATTTAATTGCTGTTTAATATTGAACTTGATTTCTCTGTTGTTTTTTTTGTTTTGTTTTGTTTCTTTTGGTTTTTGTTGTTGTTTTTTTCCCCTCTTTTACTTTCCCAGAATGAGTGAAAGTAGAAAAAAAAAAAAAAAAAAAAAAGCAGTTTATTGTCTTTGGGCAGCTTCTGTACTGCCTTTTTGATGCCATACAGAGCAATGCAAATTTTGTACCTCTTTTTTTTTTATGTGTTTGTCTTGCTAAATATACTACTTGACTTTTGTCAAATATTTTATTCATCCAAAGCATTTTCAGCATAGGAATCTGTACTATGTGCAGAAGAAAACTTGCTTGTGGTGTTGGTATTGGTGGTTTGATTGTTACACTTTCTTAATTATCATGAAAAAACTACAAAAAAAAGCAATAGGAAAAGCATGGTGTTGCTAAAATGTGCTGATTTGTAGAAAGACATCCAACAACTGTTTTATGTGAGAATTCATTTGATCTGCATCAACAATGTGTATGGATGCAAAGGTTGTACTTTGTACACTACTGAAAATAATTTCCTAGTGCCGCCTGCTGTGCCCATCAAATTGAATTAGCACATAGTGATCTGGTGAAAAATGTTGCCTGGATCAATCATTTGGGCGAAGGCTGTAAGAAAACTGATGTGTATTCTGTCCACACCCGGAAATCGATGTGATGCATCACCAGAGAAACTCAAATTCAGGTCCATGTTCAATGTGCAGTGAGGAGTCAGCACAATAACTGCTATTTCTAGCCAAGACTGGCTGTTTGCATACCTGCTTCAGCCATACATGCAGCTCAGCTGCTGGGCAACAAGTGTTCACCCAAAACTCATACCTACAGAAAAAAACATCTAGTAATTATTAATTTGAGACAGTGATATCACGTGAGGTTTGGAAGAAAGCTCATCTTGTGAGCAACATTGGTATAACCCATGAGAGGAGGATACGGGAGAGGAAGAGAGAGCTGTAGCATCAAGAGACAGAATTTACAGAGATGGACAGTGTTTGAAAATCCAAAGACAAATATATTCTTCAAAGTAAATCTATGCAATTTTTATTTAACATTTCAGCTTCAAATGATGTACCAAATGTGGCAAAATCCCCAATGCTGTCATTGCTCTGTGCGTATTGAATGTTCATGCACTGATCTTTAAGAAAGACCAAGATCTTTGCCATTAGAGGAACATGAAACAGCATTTCAGAAATAGGAATTCCTTTTAATCAGTAATTACTGCATGAAATTTCTTCAGTTTTTGGATCTTCCTATGAACTAAGTGCTCTAAGCTGTAGAAACTGTGGGATTCTTTCCCTGCATCAGGGAACTTTGTCAATATACTCTTTTTTTAGCAAATGCTCTCACTGAGAATTTGTCTTACAGTTATGCAATTAACTTTGAGGAATTAGCATTCAAAAACTTCTGCGTTACAGGAAATGTGGATGTGAAATCACTGAGGCAGATAGATGTATTTACCATATTTAAGAAAGTTAAGAAAGCTATAGCAGCTAGGGTTTCTAGGAGGTGTAAAATCTTATTAGCCAACTAAACATGACTGTAACGGATAAAAGGTACACACGGCATTCCTTAGCTCTCCTTTTTCACCGATGAGGGAAATACTTTATCATTCAGTTGATTAACTGAAAGATGAGACTGTGCATTGAGCAACTGTAAAAAAAATAAAATGATTGTAAGGCCACTTTAACCAAACTCCATTTGCAAAAAATCCATTCTGTCATGACAAAAACATTTGTCACATTTCATCTTGAGGAAGGATTGATACTTAATTTAAGAGAAAGGATCCAGCCTGACTGGCTTCCAGAAAGTATTCTACAATTGCTTAAGCTGTTGTGCCATGATAATATTGCATGTAAACAGAAACAAATTATGCACATTAATTTCTTAGAGGTGAGAAATTACAACTGTGGGGTGATGACTGCTTTCTAATGTGTATTTATCTGTTATTCATGTGAGAACATACAAGTGATATCAACAGGTAAAAAGATATCATATAACTAAAATCCCAGACTGCTAAGCCAGCCAATACATTTCTATTTCAAAGCTTGTTCATGACCTACTCTATGAAAACTATTTTTTCTCTTCAATTATAAAACTTTTAGATACAGATCAAGACTTTGCTCACTAAGATTTCAGTAGTTTCTCTAGTGTTTTAATTACATTTAGCATCTTCACCCTGCAGTGAACATTTATATTTTAAACTCTACTAACTCCTCACTAAAATATATTTCTTGATGATGATTGAAAAATGAATTAATTATGGAAGTCTGAATCATTGATGTTTTGAAACCACTTGATCTTGACCAAATGAGTGCTGAAGTGTTATCAAATCGGAATTATCCTACCCTCTCTGCTTTATTAAGTGACCAAACAGTGGATAATGCAGAGCTCTGTCCTACACCTTTGCTCATTCACCTACTAAATAAGAAACAAGCAGTGCAAATTTGAATGGCTGTCTTGAAATAAAAAAAAAAAAAAAGGTTTTTCAGACATTAAACAAAGCACGTTTCCATTCTTTTTTTGGGCATCTGAGTTGAATGGCTAAGTTTTCACCTCAATTTTCCTTACAAACAGATCCTGAAATAGGATAGAAGTTTCTGGTGACAGGTGTGAGGCTAGCCCATCGTTTTCCCTTAAAAATATTTCTGATTACCTTATACCAAAAAAGGCCTTATCTTTTCATATCTTCCAGACGCTGTTCTCTGATTTTTTCAGGGATGGATTCTCCTAAGTACAGGGTTTGTCCAAACCTCAGTAAATGTTAGCTCAGAAATTAAATCAAGGGTTATTATTGCCTGGCACCATTCCCTCCCTGCTGCTGGATCAGGGTCTGGCAGGCTTGGAGCAGCACTGCCCTGGGCTCAGGTGGTGGCTTTCTTGGGTCACTTGAGTGGTGGGGTCCCTGTGGGTGCTATTGTCTGTGTGCCAGCTTCTGGATCTATAGCCAGTTTGGGACTGAAAGACAGTGAGATTGACGAGCTAAGAATTTCAATTGCTGAAGACAAACATGAATGTTAAGATATCTAACAGTCTGTATAAACCACTTAGTTGACTAAAACAAGATATGTAGCAATTATGTTGAAATAGACTCCTCATATCCCCATTTATTTATCTTTCCATTCTATGGGTTCAAACTAATTGGATACAACTCAAATATATTTTATCTATATTTCTAGTACTCAGCAGTGCTACCACTAAAATGCCTGCAAACAGCCAGAGAAAAAAATTAGGATTAGAACATTTACTGTCATCTTCATCTCCTCTATTACCAAGGCTTATTTTATCAGACTTTCCATCTCTCCCACCAGAGTTTTGCAAAAGTTGTTTCATATGAGGAGCAACAGACATACCTTCCTTTGAGCAGTGAATGCCTCTTTGTCTGCCAAATGTTCAGGAAGCGAAGGAGGTCTTCTGAAGTCATGTGGCATTTTAGTGAATCCATACAGATTAAGTTCCTGAAAAAAACTTTTCATATTTTCAGTCTCAAAAGCTCTCCAAGGTCCTCTCCCTCTCAGTACTTCCTCCTGAAATGTTTCTTAAATGATTACAACGCACTTTCCATTGTGATCCCACCAAACGCTCTCAAATCATTAACTTTCAGCCAACACCCAGAGTTGGCAAAGAAGATGCTGGCTTTGCCGGTGTTCTCTTAAGATGTATGAGGTATACATTTGGTTTTGCCTTTTATCAGTAATGTTTCTGAATCCTGTTCTTCCATTATTAATGCTATGGAAGCATCACCAGATGTTCCTTGATCCTGTCCTGGAGATCAGGAGAACGGCAGCCTGAAGACTCAGCCAGGTTCTCTGAATCAGAAGCAGAAGTTTCTGCACATGGTTCACTTTCATTTTCTCTTGTCTCTCTTTGCCTGTAATTTGCACTTGAAGACATTTCTGCTTTCATTTGATACTTAGAAATCTTGAAAGTAATCCAACAAAATCAGTGATGTTCTCAAAGCAGTTTAAATCACACCACTCTCTACAGGATCAAGTGCTTTATCTGTAAGGAAAAAGTTTGACCTAGAGATGATGTCTAGATGCAGGAATTGAATATATGAGAGTAGTTGTTGACTGCCTTGAGCATAGAGAGGCCTGGTGGAGAGATCTTGGCAATCACCAGCCACATGAAGTTCAACACCCAGAATGGGTCAACCCTATTTATATTTATAGTCTGGAACACCTAAGAGAACGATATGGAGCTGCATCAGAAAAGGTCATGTTGAGGACTGGAAGAAGATTCTTCACCAGTCAGTAGTGAGGCCCTGGAACAGGCTCCCCAGGGCAGTGGGCACAGCCCCCTAATGGCCAGAGTTCAAGGAGAGTTTGACAACACTCTCAGACATAGGGTTTGGATTTCAGGCGGAGCTGTGTGGACCTGGATATGGGACTTGATCTCTGTGGATCCTTTTCAACTCAGGATTGATTTTACAATAACCTTGCTACCTGCATGTGCTAGGCACCCTGGATTGCCCTAAGCCTCTCTGCGTCTAGCAGTAGTAGCTGGCCTGGGGCATCCCAGGTTTCCTCCTCACCTGTGGACAGGAGGCAGAAGGGATAAGGGAGAGAGCAGCCCTTCCTGCTGGCTCCCCACCTCTGTGAGTAGCATGTTTTTGATTCTTGCTGTTTTGGTCTTCCTGCATACCTGTTTCCCCATAAAATTCTATAGTAACTTGGTATCACAATTTGGATCTGCTGTGATAAATGAAGGGGTTTTTTTATTATTTCCAGAGTTGTTGAGAAGAAACAACTTTTGGGGTATATGTAAAGACAGCAGAAAAGAGGCAGACAAGTTGGGGACAGAAAGAAAAGCCAGGTGTGGTAAAGAAGCGTTTTGTGGCTCTCCTATGGTAAAACTGTTGATATATTCCACAACTCTAACAGTGTTTTTCTACCATGGGTAAGATAATGTGTTTAATTCTGAAGTGCTTGTACACATAGTATATTTGAACTGCAAAGCATTTTTATACTTGGCCGTAACAAAAAAGTAAATTCAAACTTTTTTTAATCCAGTCAAACATCTTGAGTTATTATATTTAGCCATTATGGACCCCAGCAGAGGTCTAGGAATCTCATTAAGAATGTAAATGTCAGGTAGGACACTTAAGAACCTCATAATGGGAAAGAACCCAAGTATCGAAAGTGGTTATACATAACATAAATGGCTGGCAAACTTGAATATTGCAGAAGAGAAATCCTGCAGAGCTCTGTAATGCCGTTTAATTGGAATGACAATTACTACCAGCTTTATCTTGATATAATGAAGATTAAGCGTATGGATAACTAGACTTGTGCTTAAGTAGACTGACTGAAAAAAAAGTAAAGTAGAGAAAGGTAATAATTCTCTGTAAATAGTGAATAAAACTCTTTAAGGCAATAAGAAGTATTTTGTGTATCTTAATACAAAGTCTGTTAATAGAAGTGCTAAGAAGTGTCTATTTCAGATCTGAAATTCAGGCTTACTCAGCAAAAGCTATTTTCGTAATGTAACCTAACTATTAATATGGTTGTTCTCAGTGTTTAAATATTGAATGCTGCCCTTATTTTATCAATGAGAAGCCAGTGACTTATGGGGCTGTGGTGCACAAGACGCAGCCTTATCAGGAATGCTTGGTAAGATTGTTAAGTCCTCATAAGTGTGTCAGTGCCACCACACACCTTTAAAGCTGAATTGGAGGGAGTGTAATAGTACTGTTTGATGGTGCAAATCTGAGGCTTGCTGCTGTAGTTGGAAAGCTGGCATGTCTGTAGAAAGGAAGAATAACACTAGGACATTGCAGAGGAGGTGAGGGAGCATGCAAACATTTTTTGACTGCTCTTTTCTTTTAAGTTACATCATTGTCCCATCTTTCTCTACTTTCACATTTTTTCCCTTTGTCAAGGAAAATTTGGATGGTGGTAGAATTGTCTGTTTTAATGCAAAAATAAAATAGACTTCTTGTAGGCAGTTGGTATTGATTATTTTGATTTCTCTTTGTTTGAAGAAAGTAAAAGAATCATTCTTGTTCATGAGGAACTCTGATCACATTGTAGAGGCTAATCAGAATACAGAGCCTCATATATTCTATCATATCAAGATCAGCAATGTGGTGATTAGGAAGAGCTGCCACTCACAAGAACCTGCAGCAGCTGAGCTGTTCTATATAGAAGTCATCACAGTTTTGGGTGGGTTTTTTTTTTTTTTTTTTTTTTTTGTTTGTTTGTTTTGTTTGTTTTTTTTTTCCTTTAAATCAGCAGTAGAAATATTGTCCAAACAAAACATAGTGCAGCATGAGTTTTTTCTTTTTGAGAAAAGACTGCAGAACCAACAGGAGATGTAAGTAATGAAGGTACTGGGATGAGTTTGTTATATCCAAATAACATAGTCAGACTTTAACTCTCCACTGGAATTTTTCCATTCACCAGTGTCTATATAAAACCATCACATTGCTTAGCACAATTAGGCTTGAATGTTTAAACAGTCTGGATTGAAATAGCATTAATTAGCTCTGTCATGCTATTACTCATTGTCCATAAGCTCTCTGTTACCATTCAGATCATGCTTGAATTTACTGGCAGAGCAAAATCTGAAAAACAAATCAAACAAAGTATACTTTATGATGCTGTTTTATTTTTAGCCTCTTTGTTTTTCTGAAGGAAGACATAGAGCAACTGATAAGATTTTTAAAATGTGAAATAGGAAACAAAAAGAGGGAGAAGAGGAAGATAGAGCTGATTTATTATTACTATTATTAATAATTTTATTTTCCCCCTTTAAATAGACTGGTATTAAAATTTCTACATAGAATTCAAGGTGCACAGAGTTGGCTATTGCCCCATACAGAGATCTCATTCCAGCTATTTGTAAGCATAAGATTTACTTTCCTCCCTACAGATGTTTTACTTTTCCTTGCTTTTATATGATTTCATTTCTTTTTAGCTCATCTAAAATAAGCATATAAACTCAAGAAATACAATAGTTTAAATTTGGACTTAATTAGTTCATTTGGAGCCATAGCAAGTCAAGCACAGAGTAGTAAGTACACCACGCTTATTGTTATTCAGGTTAGTTTAAAAAACAGCTGAACAGAAATGCCCACATTTACGTTCATTTACATGGGCAAGTGCCTGTTTGTGTATAGTATGCATTTTTTATTTAAATGAGAAGTCATTTTCCGGTTATAAAAATCAGACATTATTAGTTCCCTAAAGTCACCGATTAGCAATAACTCTGCATATTCCGTGTTGTTCTTGGATGGTGCATCAGCTTGCTCCTTGGGTGTGAGCAATTACTGTCACGAGGCATAAATCTGCTTCATAAAGCAACTGTTGGAGCTCCAGATTCTTAATGCAGGGCCTCTTAGCATAATAGTTTTTTTAACATAACACTTAGAGAATTACCCATGTGGATCAAAAAGAAGTCTTTAGTGAAAATAATTGTTCTGTCTTCCAGAGGACTCTCTGACTGGCTTTGTACTACTTATGCATAGCAACTGCTGTTTTATTCAATACTAAAACTTGTTCTGATCTCATTTAAGAACTTTATTTAAAATCTATAAGAACATAGGAAAGAATGAATGTCTGTAGTTCACCAGTTTGCCTCCTCCACTCATGCAAAATTTTTGTATTTGTACACATATGTATGTATGGAAGTCTGTATGTTAAAAAAAAGTCAATGGAACTATTAGCAATAGTAATCCTTCCTCTAATACATGAGCCTTCTGAATTTGTTGGGAAAGCTTACGTATTTATATGATTAAATGATGCATTGAAATATAATCCTTTATTTTTTCACTCTGAGCAGAAATACAAAGGAATATGCTTGCAAAAAGTAGGTACTATTTGAGAAACTTCTTCAGTCTCTACGTAGCCAGTGTAGCAAAGGCAAGTGGTACGTTTACTGCTCTGTTTGCTTGTGAAGACTGTATGACATGAAGATTTTTATATAATAACCACTACTGAATCTTTTGGAAATTTCAAGTTGATTGGATGACATGATCCTCATACTGTGGTTTTTGACTTCGTAATAAAGTTAGCAAGTACCATTGTCTTTCCCTAACCACAGATGAGAAATATTGGCTTCTTGAGTAGCTGGTAGAATTAGTGCTTGAAGACTTCACAACTAATGTAATCTTTAAGCAGCAATTATACTGTTGTACAATATCCAGGATTAATCTATTCTTAGCAGTTATCAAACCTTTTAAGAAATTATAACTCAGAAATTGCATGAGAAATATATCTAATCACAACTTTCTGACTGCAGAACTTTCATGCAATGCAGACAGAATTCTTTGTTACAACATTGTAATAAAGCTAACTAGTAAAATTTCATCCTGTTGAGCATAGAGTACTTTAGATGTGCTTTAAATATTTGGGTGCTCTTAGACTGTTTTTTTTTAATTTATATTTCCAGACGCAGC